GAGAAGATGAAACGCAAACCTAGACGCCTCTAAGTTATTATTGATTAACTTAATTAATACATTTTAAACTATTAATAAATAAGTTAAATAATTAAATAATTAATTGTATAATTACTGCATAAATTTATTATCTAAATTAACTTAAATATACAATTAGTAATTAAATATTAATAGAATTAGCTTAATTAATATAACTTAATATGTATGTATCATTAAATATTTAATTAATTGTGTAAATAATTATTAATAAGTAATTTTTACTTAATATGTTATTAAATTTATAACACATTAATTTTTATTTTAATTATAAATTTATTTTTTAATTTATAATTATATTCTTCATATTTAAATCCCTAACTGTCATATATCCTGAAATATGTTACTAAACAATTTCTAAGAATTTAACAAGATTTAACATTTTACAAACCAAGTAACTTTTAGGATTTAACACATTTCTACAGATCTACTAAATCCCACTAAAAATCCCACAATTGTTGCCAAACAGCCCCTAAGAGTTCGACATGGGAATCGCCGGCGGTACAGACAGCAGCAGTGGAGAGGAAGATGGCGACGCCGAATGGAAAGCGGCGATAGATTCTGTTGCTGCGGTTGACGTTTCTTCTTCCTATGGTCTCTCCAAGTTTAGGGTTTCCGCTAGCAACGGCGGTTCATTGTGCGTCGGCCACTCAAACCACGAAGTTGAGAAGAAAACGAAAGCCCCTGGCATCAAGCTGTATCAGATTAAGGTGCACACCTTCTATTTAACTGGACTGAAATATGACATTTTACAAACAGTTTTTTTTTTTCCATAGGGTTTTTCACTTGATTTAGGTTTTGTAGAAAAGCAGTATATTTTCAGTGAATGGTATCGCCGTGATAAGGGGCGTAGTTCTTCGGTTCTTGAAAATGCATCCATGGTATAACTGGTTATTGTATGTGATAACAATGAAAACTTTGTGAAGTTTTCTTCTAAAAATGCTGCTTATCTTTAGATCTAATGTAGTTTATGTTAGGATGAGTGGAATTTGAATGAAATGAAAACGGCCTCCCACGGCCCGACATAGTCGCTTGATCTCAAGATCACCGTTGCCCGTCCATCGACAACTGCCCACATTATCGCCTGTTGTTGCCAAAACGTCGGCGCACACCATCCCCTATAAGGCTGATGCTCACCGTTGATATGAACGCGATGCCCACTGACTTTGTCGCATGTCTCCCCACCAAGGTCGATGCATGCTGTTGACACAAATACTGAAGTCCTTTGGACCAGGGGAGGAACCAGCCTTAATTTTTAAATGGGGGAGGGAACTTATAAGTTATAAGTAACTGTTGGTGTTACCTCGAATTTGGCTTGACCCTTCACTACTAGAAAATGGGTCAATAGCGCCCCTATTAGCTCATATCCTTGATCGTCATACGCTTTGCAGATATATCGGGATCGAAGGGTTCGACCTGCCAGGGTTGTAAGAACACTTTTGGAATTCAAATTGCCCTGCCTAAGTTCTGCCCATGACTCTGACTTCATTGGATGTCGTTACCAACAATGTCGGTGTGCGTTATTGTATGCACATTGTTTACACCAACTTTGACTCTCGATATGAACGTCAAGGTTTATATAGTGAACTACAAAACATAGCATGAACCAACTTCTACCGTGAAATTCATTTTATGTACTTCGCGTTTGCTACATTATATAAACATCTTAAACATCTTACCCAGTTATGGGTAAGGTCATCGTTTGTAACAGATGACATGTATCAGTGAATTCATTTCAACTTGATTAGGCTCCATGATATTTTCTCTTTTTGAGTTCTTTACTAATAACTTTGGTTTATATTGCAATATTATTTTATTTGAATTTAGATCTTCGTATAAAGCTAAGACGTAAAATTATCTCATTCTTTAGTTATGAATATTCTGGCACAGAACAAGTGGAAATTGAAAAAAACTCTCAAAAACTGCCAGGTTAGTTACATAGGATCTGTTTCATACAAAAAATTACCTTTGGGTAAGATGAGTTCTTGGTACTAGAATATTAAACCTTTAATCATGAGATCTGGCTAGAAACAGCACTGTGGAATCATCTATTCATAGTTCTTTGGAATGTGATGATGAATGAGAGAATTCACTGGCATCACATTATTTCCTGCCATAGGAAATGTTGGAAAGGTTAAGCACATTGAAAATTTCCAATAGGAATTTTTATTCTGAAGGGTTCAGGCAACTAATTAATGACTAACAATACATTTAGATCCGTAGTTTGTGCTCTGAATCTCTTAGCAAGTGGATCCTTAACGAGGATCATGCCCTGCTTGTTCCTAATGAAGTACAATGGATTCCACTCAACTAGAATATCCTAAATCCATTATCTTAGCTTGTTTAAGAATATACTGATTGATGAGGTTCTTTTGTAGAAGCCTAATTTTATTATCCTTTATTTATTGAAGTACAAGAAAGAAATTAAGAAGTGCAGGCTTTTTATTTTGGCAGACCACAATAGTAGAGGAAACATAATCTATAGTGTGATGAAAGATTTTCTATCTTTCCAAATCTCTTAGTTTTCCCAAGGATTTGTATGAACCAAAAAGTTTTAGATATCTTGGATCTATTGTTCAGAGTGATGATGCAATAGACGGGGATATTATGAGCAGAATTCAAGTTGGATGGTTGAAGTGGAGAAATGCATCGGGCTTGTTGTGCGATATAGAAGTCTTCAAACTTAAGAGAAAATTTTATAAGATGTTGGTGAGACCTGCAATACTTTATGGTGATGAATGTTGGCCATTAAAAGAGAAGCATAATACTAAGTTAAGTGTTGCAGAGATGAGGATGCTTAGGTGGATGAGTGGCTTTACCCTTAGAGATAGGATACGAAATGAGCATATACGTGAAAGGTTGTAGTAGCTCCAGTGGAAGATAATATTAGAGAGAGTCGCCTTAGATGGCTTGGTCACATTAAACGGAGGCCTTCCGATGACCCGGTTAGGAAAGTTGAGGTATTAGATTTGACTTATGTTAAGAAAGGTAGATGTAGACCTAAAAAGTCTTGATTAGAAAATATTAGAAAAGATATTTCTTTATTAGATTTAAATGAGAATTTGACTTTTAACATGACATAATGATGAAAAAGGATTTATATAGCCGACCCCACATAGTGGGACAAAGACTTGTTGTTGTTGTTGTTGTAGGCTTTTAGCTTGACCTGGTGAATTAGCATATGACATTTCAAGTGCAAGAGACTCGAGAGGTCTGGATGGTCGGAATACTTTCGGATGATACCAACCAAAATTATTGTAATCACTAGTTCTTAGCAAGCAAGAAATCCTCTACGAATCATATCACTATTGCTGACCTCAGTTTCGAAGCCTCAAATCATATAGGAGTAGAAATATGAGCTGAAAATCTCGTAACGAAGGATTGGAGTGGCTGAACAGTCATGATCTTATCTCGAGCAAGATTGCAGAATTTCCAAAGTCAATGGAGTCGTGAAAATCCCGCATCAAATCTGTATCCAGCATACAAGTAAACAGATCTGTTATATAAAAAAGAAATCTTAAAATATTTGCAATCTGTATCCAGTATATGAGCATCTGTCATGTACAAGAAAACATGAATATTTTGCAAAAGGTGATCGTTCTTTCATTTGATTTTAATCCTTTGTTTTGTTATAAATCTTTTTGTCATTTTTGGACTGTCTTTTTTATTTCTTTTGGACATAGTTGTGAACTTCGCATATCATAAGAATGTTGTGTGCATAATCTATATAGCGCATGCAACTTATGTTGCTTTAATTTTGAAAGCTATAATTTATCATAGCTCATTTTGAAATCCTTTTAAACAATGAGAACACCGTTTTAAAGATTTATTTTAATTGTGATGGAAGATATTTCTTATTTTTAATATAATTGTATATATGTTAATTTTGTTTGCCATGTCCCACCCATGTTTGCATCATATATATTTTCAAGAATGGGTGTCCCCTGCCCGTGTGGTGTTGTATTCATTTCATCTGCTGTGCATCATGGATCCTTTGAACATAGGTCACATCCTTCCCTTGGATGTTTGTTTAGAAGCATTTTGATTTTCATAGGCTTTGTTTGGGACAACTTTTGACCACTATTTTTTTGCTCATTTCGAGAAATTTTTGTACTAAAATTGCTTTAGAAAATAGTAAGAAAGTTGTCCCAAATAAAATCTTGGCCTGCTGCTGCCGTGAGTTTACTAGAACTTAAGCATAATAATTCTACAAACTGTGTTTGAGTGATGGCCTGCATAACTTTTAATAAAGTTAACTATTATTTGAATGCAAATTACCGATCATCTATATCCCCATTTGTGACTTTTTTGCATTGCGAGTGCTTGTAATTGCAGGCACAAAAGCTTTTGGATGATCTTCTGGATAAGAACATTGAGATCGTTACAACTCATATTCCTGATAATGATAATCTTCAGTCAGATGGAGGTCTCGTCAAATTATTCAGAAAAGCCCCCCCTGGGATGAGACTGGATCCTATTGGTATGTGCTAACCTTATATAATGCCATTCTTACATCACCATTGATCACCGATGCAGGTTTATGAATGTCCCCAGATCAAGATCCAGGACCTCAGAAGAAACCTAAGATTATTCCTGGAGAGTATATTGATGAAAAATCAAAGAAGGTAACAGTGCTTAAGGCTTCGTTTGAGACAACTTTCTTAATGCTTCTTAAAGCAGCTTTCTAATATAAAAATTAAATTTTTGTACTAAAAAACTGCCCCCAAGAAGCAATAAGAAAACCATCTCAAACAAAGCCTAAAATTCCGTCCCAACTCACGATTTTGGTCGTTTTATGCTTTATTATTATTGATTACTTCTTTAGTAATTTCAGTTTCGACGCAATATCCAATCTGTTGCTGTCAATGGTTCTGATATAGTGGCTGCGGCTAGACTAGCTTGCCAGAGTTCATTTGCCAGATGGGAAGCTAGAGACACTGCAGCAAAGGCAGCAGCCAAGCGTGAGGAAGAAAGAGTTGCAGAATTGAAGAGAATTAGAGGAGAGGAATGGCTACCTTCACTCGCAAGAGAAATGAAGGTTAGCTTTCTAACAACCATGAAACTGCACACTTCAGAGCATTTGGATGGTAATATAGTATAGTGAGCCCTTATACTATTAAATTCCTTCTGACTCCCAAATCCATATGTTTCCATGCTTCTATAGTGACACAGATTAATGGAGTAGCTTGCTTGTTAACCCAAGCATTTGCAATTAGAGAAGCGGTTCATGCAATTATTGTGCTATTAGTGTTTTCTGAACCAGAGAGATTCATGTGAGTATTGACATCATTTAGAGCATCAGGTTTTATGCGATACAGTTCTGAAACTTTGGGCAATCTTTTTCAAATCGCCATAGAACTTCATTAGTTTATTTATCACATATTGCCTTAGTAAGATCTCTTATCACATATTGTCTTAGGAAGTTTACTTATGATTACCTTTTGTCACCATTAATATCTGGTGTACACCCAAAATCGCTCATGTGGAGTCCTGTTTAATATCACTGATCAGGAGAAGTCGGCATCATAGACCAAATTTGCAAAAAAGGCTCTATTAATCATATATATGATTAACTAGAAGAAGTCGGTATCTTCTTATTGAATTCTTAGGTTTCATTTGAGACGGATTTCTTACTGTTTCTTAACGCAGCTTTCTAGTAAAAAAATAAAAATAAATTAATTTTTGTACTAAAAAACTACTTTAAGAAGCAATAAGAAAGCCGCCCTAAATGAAACCTTAGTTTTTGTTTAGGACGGCTTTCTTATATAATTTTTGTACTAAATAAATATTTTTAAAAGCAATAAGAAAGATGTCCCAAACGAAGCATTAATCTAATTGACTATGATCGTTTGTAACAGCTTTCTTATTGCTTGATAAAATTATTGTAGATAAAGTAATTTTCTCGAGTTATTGTAGAAAGCAGCATTTTAGTATAATTTTTTTGAAAACAATAAAAAACCAGTTGCCAAACAAATAACCTAAAATTGTCTCTAATTTACAAAATTAGTAATTTGTGATATCTTTAAGATATGTATGTATATATATGTGTGTAAATTTTTTTTTAAATTGATAGTAAAAAAATTTAAATAACATATCAAAGTGAGTTTAAAATTTTTTTGGTTGTAATATTTGTTCCAAAAAAGAAGCTTTTTAGAGGCTTCAAAATTGATGCATTATTGCAACAAATATATCAACACTCTTTTAAGAGGTATAGCTGGATATATAGAATATATATTTGCTACATTCAGTGAGCACCTTTTTTCAAAGGTGAAATTATTCTGTGCGGTCACAGGGTGCTGTACGGAAGCGAATCAGGATGTGTCATGTCACTTTTTTACTGTGTATTGGTTATGTGTACCGGGTGATTTGGTGCATCATGATTCGCTCCCAGACGGTCAGGTGGCTGTACAGAATAATTTCTTCTTTTGAAGAGCAATATTATTTATAATTAACCATCAATACTAGTGGATTCATTCAAATTAGGCTAGACCTTGTGATTTTCTCCCTTTTTAGGGATTTCTACGTAAAAATTCCGGTATCTCTTATAGATGCTACGCCCCTATCTTTTATCTGTTTGTGTGCTGGGTCTTTATATAAAGCTAGGACGCTAAACTCTATATCTCTCTAACAATTAAAAATTTTCAGGACCCAACAATCATAAGCATGAGATTTCCTCCAAGGAAAAAAAGTTAATCATCAAATTAACTTTAAAATCAATCTAATACAAATTTTAATTAATCATTCATACATTACAATCATCTCAAAATAAGTCTGATAGCTATAAAATCTATCTTGGTTAAGTTTGAGTCAAAATATCATGTTCTAATTTTTTACATAATTGAACTAGGCCTTTTACATCATATCGCATCTTTTTCCATTACAAGGAAGATGGCTAATTGCATTACATACTTAAATTAATTGAGACTTTCCAATCAACGCCCAATGATTTTTCTCCCTCCATTTTTTCCACATAAATAAAACTTAAGTTTCTTTATATATATTTATTATTTATTTTGTAGGAATAACTCAAAATTATCTCACTCATTTCCAGCTAGAGCTCATTAATATAGGTGTCTCTAATTTATAAAATTACTAATTTGTGATATCTTCAAGAAACTATTAATTTAATATATATACATAAAATAAAATTTTAATTCAAAAATTTTTTATTGATAGTAAAAAATTTTAAATGATATATCAAAATGAGCTATATTTTTTTATATTTTGGTTGTCTATTTTATTTTTATTTTTTGGTAACAGTGGTATCTACTGGCAGCCACCACCACAGTAGATGAGGCGCTTGGCGGAGAACCTAATCCCTCAACGGACCTATCGGTAATCAGCCCCACGGGTGCCAGATCACGCACTTATTTTCTCCTCATTCCGCATGAGAGAGGATAGAAATAAGATGATTTTTAGGAAAAAATATTCTGTTCGGACGTCGAACGCTCTGTGAAGATCAATACCGAGTTATACCGAGCTATACCAAGCAATACCGAGTTGTACCGAGTTTTTTCTAGGAAAAACTGGATACAACTTTTGTATAACTCGGTATTGCTCGTATAGATTGGTATAACTCAATATTGGGTGTTCACGTGATTGTATTTCCTCGTTATTGTTTGATATTGCTCGGTATTTTTCATTTTTTGATATGATTTGACCTCCGACCGGACATTCCTCTACGGCGGATCGGAGGACGTAATAATTAGAGCTCAACAAAGAATAATTTCCGAGGCATCAAAATTGCTGCATTGTTCCACGTCTTTTCAAGTGTCCCTAATTTTAAAACTAACGCACGGAGAATGAGTAATATTAATGCTATTAAAAAAATTCCCAAATTTGACGTGTCATGACTCAATTGGACTGCCCTTAGAGACAGCAAGGCACCGGTTCTATATAAACAGTTGCCCAACCGGCGTCATCGGCTTCTTATTTCAATTCAAAAGAGTGAAGCAGGGGATTTAGATTCTCTTGTTAATCCTTGTTTTTCTTCATTCTCTTCTTCTTAGTTCTTCTTTCCTTCTTCCTTCCTTGCCGATCTGATCGATGGGGTTGTTTGTCGCGGTGGCGCAGATTCTAGGGCTTTTCTTCTCTACGATCTGGGCGTTGCAGGAGAGAAGGTTAGTCGTTATCTACCGCGTCGCCGTTAGGGCAGCCATTGTTTCCGTCATGATCTGTGTGTTGGCAGTGGAGAGATGACGCCTTCGTCAGTAAGAATTTCCGACGAAGCTTATTTAATTTGTTGTAGATAGTTTTGGCCTCTTTATTTTGGTTGGCCGGTTGCGAAAGGGAAGAAGGTTCCGTTTCTATTATTGAAGTTTGTAAAGATTGTGATTCTATGGTAGATGGGGAATTAGATGTATTTTGGCGCATCTCGATGGAGATTTTATTTATTGGATATTGTTGTTTTTGTTAGTTTAATTTATGATGAAAAGGGGATGGCCCTTTTTTTAGGTTTAACATTGAATTGAGTTTTGGTTTTCTTCTATCTGGGTTTTGCGTTATTGTTCTTACTTGATTTACAAGATACATTGGGTTGATCTCTGAAATTTATACAGGTGTTTTGCTCTTTCCTTGCATTCTGTAAAGATTAAGTAATGCAGATTAGGTTTCTTGTCTGCGGTTGGAGGAACTTCGTGATCTAGTCAAGGATGACGTTATAGATCCAATTTGATTCTTATGGATCGTTCAAAAGAGATGTAATCCATGTCTTTATATGGAATGATACAGTACTAGAGCTGTCAAATAAAACTGCTTAATATTCGGCTCATTTTATATTTTTGTTCTTTAAGGAGTTGAATGAAAAAATTTTCTTTACTTATATATCCAACACCCAAAGTTTATTATTTATTAGAGACCTACGACTGTATTATCTCTTCTGAATCAGTTTGGAATAATCTAAGCATGATTTTAGGCCATGGCAACACGATGGGAATGAGACGGCTGGAATGGCTAGAAAGCTTAATTAACGAGTAATAAATAGAGTGTATCATCATGAAAAAAAAATCTTGATCGGGCATGAATCTTGATGCAAATATGCGTTCAAAGTTTCAAAAAATTAAAATTAAAATAATTTGAACTCCAATTCCAACAAGCTTATAGTCTAATTGAACATCTCAAGAGACGAACCCAATGACACTAAATCTGATACAATCCGAGCCCAAAGGAGTCCTAATAAAGTCTATTTGGAAGTCCTTCAATATCGAGGACAAATTCATTGCAACAACAAGTAGACATTTTTTTATCACCTTTCAACCATCAGTTAATGTTGCATCGATTCCATGGGAAGCACATCTGGATTGTGGGGCAACCTTGGTTGTAATCTCAAATACGATTGTGATCAGCAAGTCCCCCAATACTTTACTTGAACTTCTAACACTGGTCTCGCCATCGACGCTGGCCTACATCAACATTGGCCTTGCCATCACCTACAAGGTAATGTCGGCTGTTATCATAACATTCGACACTTTTATTTCCACCTAGGTCAATGATTGTTGTCAACATTAACATTAAAGTCTATCATCATGAATATGGTTGGCTCTTGCCATTGACAACAATGCTCATGTTCAGGGGCGGAGCTAGAAATTTTCATCAATAGGGGCACAAATTGATAAATTTTAATATACTCAAAAAATATATTTTTAGTAGCTTTTTGTCCTTCTATTTAAGAGTCTATAGTGAAATAATACTTTTATCTTTTAAGAATATTAATATTTATTTTTAATAAAATTATAAATTCTATATTCTATTAGTTGTTACATATAAATTTATAATATTTTAACTATTTAGTTGTTAATTTTATAAAAAAATAAAATTTCTAATATACATATTTTTTTCTTTATATATGTATATATATTAATTTTTAATGATAAAAAATTAAGATTTTTCTTACATGGCATATTTTAATAAAATTATTGATTGCTAATTTATGTCATATATAGAAAATTTGCTCTAATTTTTCTAATTTTTTTTTGTTGGATCTAATAATAGTTTTGTTGCGTGCGAGAATATACGTGGTGGTAGAGTTTGTAAATTCGCGTCCTAGCGTTGCACGAGTATTTCGCACACAAACAGAAAAGAGAAATTGAACGCCCCTCCGCGAATATTCATAAGATAAAAATATTTTTACAGCTACATGTGTTAAAAGGTTGATATTTATCGAGCAAATACAAATAAATTCACAGGGTGTAGGATATCTGATGAAATTTGGAAACGAAAAATTTGTGTACTTTCAATTGTACCAATCGTATGTCTTTGTTGCTATTTCATTCTCTCAGATTTGTCCCTTCTCATTTCTATCTCATTTCGTCTACTTAACCTCTCCATAATAAAGAAAAAATTTAGTGATAATCATTTAATTAAATTAAATCAAAATTAATTTAAAACAATTATATCAATTTTAAAATAAATTTAATATAAAATTATTTAATTATTTTTAAATTATATTCATAATATTTTTTTTTTCAGAATATTTTAATATAAATTAGATCATAATTATTTTAAAAATCATTAGAAATGCTTTAAAAGTGTCATATATAAATTTTAGGGAGATTTACATGCATACCACTTTATACTACTATATTTACATATTTAACATCTAAAACTTTAATATTACATGCATACCACCGATAGTTCAATTTCATATCAAATATGGGTGGTATAAATGAAATATATTAAGTGGTAGGAAGGAAACATGAGTGGTATATTTGATATTAAAATAATATAAGTGGTATGTATGTAATATTAAAATTTTAGGTGTTAGATATGTAAATAGGATGGTATAAAGTGGTATGTATGTAAAATTCCCTAAATTTTAATATATAATATTGATACGTCACCTGAAAATCTTGATGCATATTTGAATTGAAAAATTTCAAAACTAAATTTGGATCCATTTAAACTCCGATCTTGATGCATTGACTTGGAAGCTTTCATGCATTGACTTGGTTTTAAAAATCATTAGAAATGCTTTAAAAGTGTCATATATAAATTTTAATATATAATATTGATACGTCACCTGAAAATCTTGATGCATATTTGAATTGAAAAATTTCAAAACTAAATTTGGATCCATTTAAACTCCGATCTTGATGCATTGACTTGGAAGCTTTCATGCATTGACTTGGATGAACACATGATATCCAAATATAGCATGCTTATAGTTGAATCAAGCGTCTTCACCTATGATGCACCGACACTTCTCCTCAAAGAGGCGTGCACGCCGTGCAGTGTCCGACACCGTATCCGACACGACACTCGCCCGACACTCCTTCGACACGTGTCGGACATGTTGAAAACGTGTCCGATTAAAAACTATTAAATACAAATTGAACACTCGTGTCCGGCACGCGTATCTTAAATATTTTATAAATTTTTTTAAATATAATTTCTTGTATTTGGCAGAATTTAAACTAAATTTTTTATTTCCTATCCACAATACCAAATCAACGTCCGCACTTAATACCCAATCATTGAATATTCTCATTTTCATTTATTTTTAGTAGTGAAGGTATTTTCATTTCCTCTCTCGGTAACTGATAAACGACGTCGTCGCCTGACTCTCGACATCCTAATATTAATCATTTTAATCACAAATTCTAGTTAAATGACTTATTATTTTCAAATTATCTTCAAAATTATAATTATTTAATTTTTATACACTATTTTTAAAATATAAAAAACTATAATACTGTGTCAAACCCGTGTCCGTGTCCTATATTTTCAATAACTAACGTGTCCCATGTCCGTGTCGTGTCGTATCCGTGTCGCCGTGTCCGTGTTTGTGCATCATAGGTCTTCACGAGATGAATCTAACGAGGCCAATATCACTTAATCTAACATCATTTAAACACTTTAATGCTGAATGAATGCTCCATGATAAAAAGAATTAATATAGGTAGTTCGATGAAGTACCTCAAATTTGTCCTGGATCTTCTTCGTATTTATGGAACATGCCACTCTCAAAATCTATAAATAAAACATCACTATCTATATGAAAAAAAAAAAAGTTTTGGAGGCTTGAATTATGGGCTAGAGACTCAAAAGAACTTTGAGGTTCGAAGAGTTCTAGAGCTCCACCGAGACACCACCGTCGGTAAATCCTCGCTGCTCGACAATCGCTATTGGACCTCCTTTCAACAATCAACATCAGACCTTTGTCTGGCCACAACCGCCAGGTCTCAGCCCAACCTATATTACTCGCCGACTATAGTTCCTCTGACCTCTATCACTTAATAATAGTTCATTCGACAGTGGTCACCCAACAAAAATCCCTTCAAACTTAATCGCCTAACCTTTCTTTCTCATTAGCTATGATCCCTCTAACCTTTATCACGCGGCAATAATTCATTTGACCTCCATCTCCTAACTATGATCCCCTTGACCGTCCTCTCCCGATATCACTTCCGCCCTCTCTCGCCCTCTAATACAGAAACTCTGCTACTTTTCCGATTAATTGAATTGTACAGTCCGTTCCTACTCATTCGTTTCTTTCTGCTCATCGGCCAACACCCCTTCCCCATTCCATCTACGCGACCAACGATTTCTTTCTTTTCAATGTCTGCGCCAGCAGATGCATCTCCGGCATCCTCTGTCGCAGAACTCTCGGTACGCTTCCTGTCCCACCGCTTTTATGAATGAATACTTCCGGAGTTGACAATCATGCTCGACATAGTTTACCATGGCATTACTCTTTTCAATGCGTTCTTTATGGTTGATTTTTTTAATGTGGGGGGAGGGGGGGGCAAAGAATTGAACCCTAGTTTAGCCAACCAAAATATATTCGTGAAAGGATTGTTCGAAGGAGGAAATGGACAAATCGGCCATGACTTGATAAGATAGGTACTTGCAATACGGCTTCATTGTGTCTCGTTGGTGAATTTTTGGGGCTTGTCCCTTTAAATCACGATCATACAATTACTAGATATCATATCGTTCTAAAAATCAGACCGAAAAAGATGTAGGATGGAAAGGAAATATAATTTTGTTATTTTGCAAGCAAGGGGGCACGGAATAAGTGAGAGAAAGACAGAGAATATGCTAGCAGAGGAGAATGAGATGAGCAAGATAGGGTTTATTCATGTTGCTTCCAAGAAAGTTTAGCAAGGTAGGTACCCACTCAAACAAGCTTTAAATTACTTTGCTTCCTCTAGGAGTTTTGAACCCAGAGTCCTTTGCATCTTAGAAAAGGGTCTGTTGTTATAGGATTCAGTGCGGAGCTGTAGTTTCTACCTTCAGCGTAACTATTAAAACCCTCCAACTCAACAAGAAATGTCTGACTTCATTGCTTCCCCGACCTTGCCAGCTCAACGTAGCTGTATCCATGAGGAGGGCGCTGCATTTACCTCCATTATAAATGCTTGTCAACTATAGTGTTATCTTCGAAAATGTGAGAGTATTACTAAAGTCTGTATTTTTATAAATTGTGAAACAATCTTTACGGTTCCACTTATTGTAAAGTCAAAAGTGTGCTGTAAGCTTATACAAAAACCAAATGTTTAATACTTATTATATGCACCACGTATAATGTTTATACAACAATCACATGTGTTTTGCCATCACCATGAGAAACTGTTTCCAACTCATTGACTGTTAGATAACCCCCAGGTGACCGAAGCACTTTGACCTCATGCTCTCCATGAAAGAGTTGAGCTTCAAAGATGCCATTGCTGTCAGTTGTTCCCACCACAGTGTCAGATCTCCACCCTTTGATCAGCTTGTCAACTACATCTCCAGTGGGTAAGTTCCTGAAGTTGTTATCAGTCAAACACATCCTGTTGCAGCCCTGAGGGTGCCATCCAGCCCATATCACAATCCCTTTAACTGCTGGATGTGAGAAAGCCTCCCTCAAGATGGATTCTAGATACTGTGCCTGAAAAGAAAAAAAAAGGGGGTCAATTTCAAATCCTTAGACTTACTAATGATATTCCTGAAAAATACGTCATTGTTTGGAGAAATTATTAGGTTCGGACACCTTCTGTCTACAGTAAAAACACAGTCATTGTAGCAGCTGCGCTTTTATTGTAGACAGAGAGAAATCTGGATGATTCTCTGTCCGGTGTCCGCACCTAATAATTTGCCCATTGTTTGAGATTGTACCTGATTTTGATTCTGGACATCTACTTCGGTGAGCCAGATGGGCACTTTTGCTCCTGCAAGCTTATCAAGAGCAGCCCTCATGAAGGGAATATTTGGTTGGTTGAAGTGTGCTTCCAACCCTATTGCCATCTTCACACTGTTCTTAGTATATCTCTGTATTTCCCAAAACTTCTGCAGATACTTATCAGGTGTTGATGCCGGATCACCTGGTTGTTCCAAGGTGTTGTATTCATTCAAGAACATATAAGTGCCTGGATCAATCTGCCTAGCTTGTATAAAGGCATCACCAGAGAAGCTTTGTCCCAGTCTCTGCTCAAAGAAATTGAAGTGAAGGTTCTCGTTAACAACATCCCAAGCGATTAGCTGTCCTTTGTATCTGGAGACGATGGAGTTGAGTCGCTTAGTAGTAGCATACTTAAGCTGGGCATAAGATAGTGATGTTACCCATCCCATTTGATACTTTGGGTCATCCCAGAATATGTTATGGCCTCGCACAGCAATGCCGTGCTGCTTCGAGAATGCAACCATGGCGTCTGCGTAATAGTAGTCTTCCTTCCCTTGATATTTCTCAGTGCTGTACCACTTCATCTCATTCTCAAAGGTAGTCACAGTGAAGCGAGAGGTGAACCAGTACTGGTAGGCACTGTTTGTGAGTATGGATTGGGTGATGGCGCAGCCAAATGGGAAGCTTGGCCTTTGCAGTTTAATGGAGATGGTGGTATTTGGAAGGATGGTTCCATTGGCATCCACAACCTTCAATCTTACAACCCTCATACGTGCCTGAAAGTATATATTGTTCCATTTCAATACTACTTATCAGAGCCCTATATTGGATACTCATACCCACACCCACCTATGTACTATGGGTGGGTATGGGTACGTATGAGTGGGTACTCAATATTGAGGGACATTGCTAATCATTGTATATCTTATATTACTGCAATTCTCACTACATAGTTTGAAGTACTTAACCACGCTACGACTACAGTAAATTCTGATATGCGACTTGAAAGTTGGCAATCAGAGCAAAGGACAACAAGCCTCAAGGCCATCAGTCCGTGTCAGAGTGCGTTCAAAAAGCATGAAAAATTGGTGGGTATATATGGGTGGGCGAAGCCCGTCTGAGTGAAGCATGGGTACCCAATCAGGACCCCATATAGGGCTTTGTTACTTACGTCTTTAAACAAAGATTCCTTACCTGCTGGACGGTTTGTGTCTGATGAGACCTCCATTCCTCTTCTGTAAATGGCTGCAAGGAGATACTATCCACCCAGATCTCTGCTGCAGTGGCATTGCTCTGCAATCAAATGGAGAGATCTTCAGCATCTGAAAGGAAAAGTTTTCAAAAAAGAGCAGAGATTTCTACCTCGAAAAGGAGTTCAGCTGGTCCAGTAACATCAACAGAAAGACCTCCTTTGAGCATGGACCAGCAGCCAGACCTGGCTTCAATTGCTCCGGCATGGATGAGCTTGCCACCAGCCTTGAACACAGCCACAACATCAGCAAATCCATCATCAGTTTGCAGCCAAGCTGGAAGAAGATGCAGATACGATTTAACTTCGGTACGGTTTAGTAAATTTAGTAAAAATTCTATGGGTTGGTTGAATGGAATAGATCACCGGAGAAAGTGTAGAGCTTCTCTTTCTGAAGCAGAACCTTCTTCGAAACACTGAGATAAGGTATCCTTCCGCTGCGAGAAAAAACAAGGTATTTGTTCCCGGTTCTGGAAGTTCTTTGTTCTACATTGCCGGAGCCAAATGCAGACCATTCTTGAATTCCTCTGTTGAACTCTGGGTTGCTAATGATGCCGCCTCTATATTGCGGTTTGAGAGGCTCAGCCAAACACTGGAAAAGAAATTGGGATTTAGAGAAATTGAATGAGAGACAGAGCTTTTTGATAATGGATTAAATTTTATAATTCACTTGAAATCACTCAAATTTTTTTTTTTAAATACATTTGAAATTTGACAAGGCTAATTAAAAAATATTAAATAATAGACTCAAAATGGGACTTGTAATGATTAAGTAGATAAAATATGATATATATAATATACTATGTTATACAAATATATATAGTAAAATGATAATAATTCTTTTTGAGTAAATTTAAAACTAATTTGTTTTTTTTAAATACATTTGAAATTTGACAAGGCTAATTAAAAAATATTAAATAATAGACTCAAAATGGGACTTGTAATGATTAAGTAGATAAAATATGATATATATAATATACTATGTTATACAAATATATATAGTAAAATGATAATAATTCTTTTTGAGTAAACTCAAAACTAATTTGAGATCAGCTTATATTAAATTAATTTAAGTTAAATCAACTTGACTCAAATAATTATTCATTTCAATTCGAATCAAATTGAAATTGAAAATTTTTCATTTCTAATTTATTGGAATTATTCATCAAGAGTGTGATTGTTATATAACAACAATAATAACAACAACAACAAATCTTTATTTCATTACATGAGGTCTGCTTCATTAATCTTTTTCTTCATTGCGATTGTTATAGTAAAAATAAATAAATATGTATATATATATA